GAGCCTTTGTGCGCAAACGCTGCCTTTGAAGTCATAGTCTACGCTTTGATCTCGCTGCCACGCGTGGTTCATGTAGCTCTCAATAGTTGCAAACAACTCCGCGCTGTCAATATGTTTGAGTGGGTTTAAGTAGGATAGACAGCAGTTTCACTACATTTTCAGCAATTTCTAGTGATTATTAACACATCATGTGCATTTATTGTTTATTGATAACTACGCTGACTACATTTTACAATCGCATTTTATTCTGGGGAGTGATGAAGAGACAGCATTAATATTTTTTATAATATGCTTATTATTTATATTACAATTAGCGTAGTATTTAGGGTTAAAATAGAGAAAATATTTTTAAATTCCAAACATTTTTTAATACATTTTTAAAAGAGGCAAATTAGAGGCGTTTGGTGGTCAGAAAAACAATATTCCTATGTAATGCCATGGTTTAAAGGGGTCATATGATGCGATTTCAATTGTTCCTTTCTCTTTGGAGTGTTACAAGCTCTTGGTGCATAAAGAAGATCTGTAAAGTCCATAATTATGTCCCCACTGGATGCAACGATGCCTCGTTTATTATGGGTTTTAATGTTTTGTCTCGTCGCTCCGGCCGGGACACTGCATCACAATATGGTGAGGGGCGTAACATTTCCGTCACACGCTTGAGGTATTCGGCCAATCACAACGCACTGGATAGCTGGCCAATCACAGCACACCTCGCTTTTCAGAACGATGAGCTTTGTAAAAATCGACGTGTTTCAGAAAGGCGGGGCATAGAGGAGAAACAATAATGTACATTATGTGGAAAATAATGTGTTTTTTTAACTTTAAACCGCATAAACACATTTCATTACACCAAATACACAAAATAATGTTCTTTTTAGCAACATCATATGACCCCTTTAAGCACTAGATGCCTGTATGGCTGTTTAATAAATATAGCCTACATATATTTAGCTCTACTCTAAATAGTTACAATAGTAGCTTTATTTATTTATTTATTTATTTATTTAATGTTTTGCATTGTATATTTAGACATTATCAAACACTCAATGTTTCTAAGTTTTGCTTTTTTTAAATGTTGAATTTAAAAAGATTAATTACTCATTTTATGACATTTATGCAAGAAGACAATTTAAGTGAATGTTAAAAAAGGCCAGCAAATATGTAATTTAACCCAATAAAAAAATTTAAATAACGTTTAAAAAAAAAAAAACACAAGGCAACCAACTGCATTCAGGGAAATGCTTTCTTGTATTCCTTTAATGGGCAGTAGCTGAAACTCATTCAACTTCCTACAGGGAGAGAAAGATTGCAGAAAGACTAAAAACTTAAAAATATGACAACTAGCATCTGGTTATGATCGCTATTAAGGTGTTTCTCATGTTATCTAATATATATAGCATAACTGCCTATTATCTAAAACTAAACATTAACTATAATGTGTTTCATAAAATACAACTAAAGGCCAGATTTCCGAGAGGTAAACTAATGCGTTAAAATGCCAAAAACTGCTGTAATTTCCTCAACTCTCTGGCGAGTGTGCTTGAGAAGCACTGAAATACTTCCGCATTCCTCAGTTCCTATGGAAGCCTATGGGAGTGTCACAACTGTTTCTCAGCGGCTCTGCTCCGCCCAAGCCGTCAAACTGACGTCATCAGAGGAGGAATGCCATTCCAGAGATGAAGTAAATGTAAATCTCGATTTCATGAGGACTTTAACACGTTTTGCTGTGGAAAAATAGTTGACTTTTTGGGCTTATTTACAGTCTGTTGTACCTCACTGTACACAGTTTTTTGAAAATGCTTATTATTGTGTTTGTTGCATAGAACGAAGCTTTCACTGATTGCATGAAGTTTAACGGAAGTTACTACCATAATTGACACAAAGCATCATGAGACGTAGGAAAACGGTGGATATGTGCAATTTCAGCAGTCATCTCAGAGTAGGTTGGGTTTGAGTTGGATTGAGAGGGTGTTCGTATGTGTGTGGTGATGTGTAACTCTATATTTTGTGGCACTAGGTAGAGCCGCTGAGCTCGTCTGGAGTGGAGGAGTGTCTGCGGCACGCGTGTGGACAGAAAGCAGCTGCAGCAGATTATGCAGAACTCTTCACCTGAACTCCAACCAACAGAAGAGTGCAGAACCTGTGCCTTACACGGTCATCAGCACTGCAAATACACTAACACTGATAATAACTGCAAACCAACATGCCTGCGATTCTTTTACAGGCATTGTCACATTTCATAAGCACCCCTGTTTAAAAGTATTACATTTATCTGAAGTTTAAATCCAACATTAAAAATGATTTTCCATCCCAAAACACCAGCCTGTTCCTTTGTGTAACAGAAAAGATGAAACTCAAAAAGATGAAGTGGGTTACACTTTATTTTAAGGTGTCCTTGTTACAGTGTAATTATACATTTAAGTACTGAGTACTACATGTACTTACTATAAGGTTAGGATTACTTAGGGTTTGGATTGGGGTTACTTGCATGTTATTATGCATAAATAATTGTTATTATAATAGTAATATAACATGTGTAACAAGGACACCTTAAAATAAAGTGTTACCGATGAAGTGAAACTGAAAAGTTTTTTTTTTTTAATCAGAAAAAATTCCTTTTAATTTCAGAAATTGATATGACAAGTGCACTCTTCATTTTATTCTATACGAACTAGCTGGTTATTTTAAAACAAATCAACCGTAACAAACCAACAATAACACAAAGTTTATTCTTTTTAATCACAAAATACATTTGAAAACAGTTTTGGAAGCATGTAGTTTTGTTCTTCTGACACTTTCTTGAAAAAATGCTTGGCTGTGATATGAAAACATTTACTCATAGTTGACTAACATTTTCCTTAAAAAACTTTCAGCAGGTTTTAAATGAGTGGAAATCATGAAGGAAACACTATACTGCTAACGACACTTTATTGGAGTTTTATAGGTTTTAATTAAGATATTGTGAGCTGGGTTCAATTTATCCTGTTAAATGCATTTTTTTCAAAAAAAATTTCCTAAAGAGGTCACTTAAATTTAATTGTTTAAAAAATAAACAAGACAGAAATGGACAAATGTACAAACACTTAAAAGTGACTCGAGCTTTGGAATCTCACAAAAGTGTGCAAAGTTAAGCTTCCCTTATTGATGTGCACATATTTCATAAAGTGACATGAACTCACACAGAACAGATTCAGCTGGAGAACGACACAAAGATCAGTAACAAACAGTCATCCAAAACACTGGACTTGAAACCAAACCTAGAGACTTGTGTTTCCCTTTATGTATCCATTAATTACTGTAAGCAGGTTACATTTCACGACCTTTACACAACACTGTCAGAGTAAAGACTGGGTCTGGAAGACCTTCGGGTTGCATTTATGTTGCACACTGACTTAATCTGTAGCAAGGTCCTAATTTAAGAACTTGATTTTGAATGTGAATAGTTTACAAGCACACTCTAGCAGTGATGTTACACAGAAGTCACTGGCGTTCAGTATAGTTCTAGTACCCTGCTCATTACATGCTACACGAGTATCTTCACTCTGCATTCAACTAAATGTGTCAAATTCAGAGCGAGGACACAAATCTTGATTTAAGATGGTGATTTTAGCGATTGAAGAAAATTTAAATACATTTAAAAACAACTGAATGATTGAATCCCTGCAGAAATAGCTTTTCTTGAGCTGTTAAAAGCAATATGATAAATGCATAGCTTTAATTAAACCTTTTAAAATGTAAAAACTAAGACATTCGGTGGCTTTGAGTGAGTTTCTTGTAATGAAATTCACAGGTACTTGATTAGTTGGTTAGTACTTCTAGTACCATGACTTCAATCCTGTGAGAAGCACCCAAGGAACCGTTCCCAACACACAGAGTACCTCTTCCATCAGGTAAACACAGACAATGAGCACCTCATTTAAGGCACAGCGTGCTACATGAAGAACTGGCCGAACAGATTGGCCACGCCGAGGAGGACGAGGAAGCCATGGAAGACGGCGGAGGGCCAGCGTAACTCCCCTCTGCGGTTCAGTGAGGTCAGGTGGATCAGAGAGGGAAGCACAAACACCAGAGCCAAGCCACATAGGGCCCCCGAATACCTGAGAGGAAACCAACCTTTACAAAGCCTGCCGTTCCAAAGTCAAGTCACCTTCATTTCTATAGCACTTCACACAATACAGATTGTGTACAACAGCTCCACAGAGATAAGCAGGGTCAAGTCTGGACTACTGAAGTCTGGCAGAGAGAGAGTTCAATGCAAATCCTTCACAGCACTGCTGGATACACACAGCCTCTGCCCAGTTTAAGAAATAATGACACTAAGTTCCTGTTTTAAAAAAGGAAGCAGGAAAAGTCTCTTACCTGATGATGGAGCCGATGTTGGGGTAAAACCTGGCCATTAGGACTCCAGCTCCCACAACAAGGATGTTCAGAATAAACACATGAAGGAAACTAGGAATGGAAAGACGAGGCATCAATAATGTCAATACATTGAGATCATTCTTGTAAGCATACAGTGCAAGTCAGTGTTCCGCTCATACTATATGATTTACAAGCACCTCTTCCAGCTCCAACACATCAATCTGAGAAACTACTGTGTCATGACTTCGGTCTGATCAGCAGGTTGTTGTTGTTTTTTGTCTGTTTTGACAGTTCGCCATGTGCTCATTGTCTTCGTGGTTTCCCTCCCCATCGTTATCTTATTAACTACTTTAGCTGCCGTCACACCTGTGGCTTGTTTATTCCTTAATTCTCCCTCCTTTTAAGTTCCCCTCGTGTGTAGTCTTGTGTCTGACCGTTGTGGTGTGAACACGCTACTCTTCGTTCGTGACCTACTACCAGTCTTGAGTTCTTGTCCTGCCGTGTTTTCATAGGCTCCAAGTACAGTTTAGTGTTTTCAGTTTGTCTTTTCCGCTCGCTCTCTGCCTCTCGTTTCACCAGTTTTCTGTTCCCCAGTTCCTGCCCTGGCATTACCAGAACCGCGCTTCGCGGCCTCTCCTCTCCTGCCCCTCTCGGTGCACTCTACAAGGAACTCTCTGCCCTGACGTTGTGTCAGTACCGACGCTTGGACTCTGTGTGCGGTTCCCTCTCCACTCTGACGTTGCGTCAGCACTGACGCTGGGACTCTGTACGCTGTTCTCTCGCTACTCTGACGTTGCGTCAGCATTGACGCTGGGACTGTGTGCGCTGATCTCCCTACGCCTTACCCTCTCTGCCTCGTGGAGTGACTGGAGGCTCGTTTGGACTGTTCCCCTCTTCCTGTCTCTAATCACTGCCCTGAATTACGGCTTCTGGTCTGCAGTCCCAGCCGAGTTTTGTGTTTTGAGATTCAAATAAATTTGAGTTGAACCTGCAAATTGAATCCGTGTTTTTCCCTGACATACTGAGTATAGGGCATTTACATGGGGTTTTGTCATTTTATTTTATTTTTATAAATGAGGCTGTGGCTTAACATTTAAAATGCAGGATTTTTAAGGAAGTCACACACTCAAGCATCATGATTGGTCCATTAAATACAGGAAGACAACTCTGTCAAAGGTTTTACGGACAATGAAGTAGTCTACATTGAAAATATGTGCCCGTGTGCTTTTGTAATGTTAACTTTTAAATGCGACACTGTTTCACAAACACACACTTGTGGTCAAAATTTACAAACACTTTGCAATCTCTGCAAAATGTTAATTATTTTACCAAAGTATACAAAATGCATGTTATTTTTATTTAGTACTGACCTGAATAAGAGATTTCACATAAAAGACGTTTACATATAATCCACAAGAGAAAATAATAGTTGAATTTATAAAAATGACACCGTTCAAAAGTTCACATACGCTTAATTCTTAATGCTGTGTTTTTATCTGGATGATCCACAGCTGTTTTTTGTTTGTTTGTTTAACATAATGCCACATTATTAATAATAATTTTATAATTAATAATTAAAGTTATAAATAACTTTGAAACAGCGCCTTCTAAAATAACAAGGCCACTTAGTCTAAAATTAATAATTAAATTTTCCTCTTTTGTTCCATAATGTGCAACGCACATCTCAAAAATCTGTTTTAGTGTTTCATTCTTTAAAGGACAAAAATGTGTGCGGCAACTGTTTTGAATATTACATGATCTCAGCTATTTTGTAAAGCCTGCTTTAATTTTCAAAAGTAGGCCTTTTGCCATTATTCATTCTCTTCATATTTATGTATTATCTCTATAAAGGATGATTCCCCACACCACCTTTTTCATTCAGAGGAACCTTCATTTCAAACAAACAGCCAAGAAGACTCAGAGATTCACTTCTCAATTGTTTCAGTGGATGTGTCATGAAGCTAAACAGTTCATTAAACTGACTGTTTTGAAGCGATTGAAACTCTACTTGGTGAGGACATCTGCTGGATAAAGCCATGTAACTGCACTAAATACCATGAAATACAACATTTTTTGTAAGTTCTACAAATATGTTGAACACTTTTACAAACAGAATTTGAAAAATTCCACTAAAAACTGACTCGAGAGTGGTTACAAACATACTTTTAATACTGGTTTAAGGTTTCAACTGGCATAAACTCCCTCACAACATTAAACCGCTGACATTTCAAAATGTTTCAAAACAGTATGACGTCGTAACTAAGCCTTGTTTGCAAATATCACATGATTTTGTAACAAAGCACTGATCTGAAACTAAAGATTTCAAATGCGCCCATCAGTCATAACTCATTATCATACACAATTATTACTCACCTGGGATAATGGTCCCCAAAGAGCTGCCCCATCAGCTGCACGCGCACCAGGTACCCCAGCAGAGGATACACGGTGGTCATCTGGAACAGAAGACAAGCCCTCGCTACAAACACCAGCACATCGCTGCTGGGGAAGTTATCCAGAAAGTTCTGTAGAGGAGGACGAGACAACGTCAGTATGAATGAATGCACCTCAAACAGCTCGTTTTGAAAAAATATATGATATTAGAGTTGCAGTTGCATGCTCAGTCTTACTGGTTCAATGCACTCTTTAGACAGCGGTGGTGATGGGAAAGCAGCAAAGATCAGCACGCCCACATAGAGGTACGTTAACCCCACCAGCAGGTACGCCAACGACAGATCCCGCACCTGCGGACACAGCATCAGTTCACACTCACTACTGAACTGCTGATGCACAGCACTACTGGATGAGTCTCAGACATTGTCACTATACGACTATGAAATACAAATGTTTTACAATGATGATAAATAAAACTATTTTCAGTTTGGTTTTAGTTTTATTCGGCAAGGATGCATTCAATTGATCAAACGTGACAGCAAAGACTTTTACATTGTTACCAAAACATATGAAGAAAATATTCCCACAAAAATATTAAGCAGTACAACATTGATAATAATCAGAAATGTTTCTTGAGCAGCAAATCCGCATATTAGAGTGATTTCTGAAGATCATGTGACACTGAAGACACGCACACACACTCTCACACACTCTTACACACTCTCACACACTCACTCTCCCACACTCACTCTCCCACTCACTCTCCCACTCACTCACACTCACATACTCACACACTCACACACTCACACACACACACACACTCACACACACACACACACACACACACAC